CGGGGCGACGTGATGCGGCGTGCAGAGCTCGACCCCGCCTCGGGCTAGGGCTTCGAGGACCGGCTCGGAGAGTGGCGGCTTCAGGTCGGAGAAGCGCGTGTCGCTTAGCGCGCTGTTGGGGTTGAAAGAGTCGGCGTCCATGGCTTTTCTGTTTTCTTCGCGGTTCGCACCGTTAAGCTTTCTGCTTTCGCAACTTAAAAAGGTTTCTCCTTTTTAAACGGCCTGTCGTTCATTAGACACATGCCGTTTGTTTTAGAAAAAAGAAAACGCCATGTCGTCGAATGTTGGTTGTTGGCAACTTGGCATAAGTGAGTACAGTGATGGGCCATCAAGTGTCATGCTTTGGTTCTTCTCCTTCACCAAGCATGAGATTTTAAGAGAATTGGTGTGAGCTTGGTGGTGAATATGGTGGTCGGAGGCGGTTTTATGAAATGGGTTTTAGTTATTTTAGCGATTCTGGACCGAGTTAACTCGGTCTCTGCTAACTGCCATTTCAGTGTCATTGATGATAACAAGCTCTACGACTACAGCTTGGGCTCTCCCATCCCCTTATTCCCTCATGGCATCCAAAGCGAAGATGGGTACTCTCTCTCTCTCTCTGAGTCTTCATCTCTCTGCTGCTTGATTTGGGTATTTCTTATTTTACATGAATGATGAATGTTACCTTGTAATTTCAACAGTCTTACTTAAACATGGGTTATTTCTCACCTTCAATAAATTTGCCCCATGCTTGTAATCTGTGCCCATTGAGTTTAACAAGCTTTGCTGCAATGGGTGGAACATGTACCTCATCTGCATGTCCTGCAACTGTTTGATTCGTTTGATTTCTCGGTGCTGTTTCCATGTTGGAGACGGGCTTCCTTCAAATTTTTCATAGTAGTGTGCTTTTATCCTATTAAGCATTTATCAAATTTTTTAGTTGATTAGTGTTTTATTTAGGCAGCTTAGTGCGCATGTCTTTTTAAGAAATTCGGTTGAGCCATTTTGATTTCTCTAGTTTAC